ACCACACACACACACACACACACCACACACCAGCCTGTATCAGTGACTCATGCTACTTAAGTGGCAGAAAAACCCCTAAGACCCCTTTCTTAAAAGGAGCTGGATACAATAGTGTACCTGTTTACGAAGGGAGAGACACTATATCAAAAATAACCAGCAAAAACCAGAGTAGAGGTATGGCTGAAAGGTAAAAGTACCCACTAGCAAGAGCAAGGACCTGAATTCAAATTCCAATATTGGGGGGAACAGAGGGGACAACTATTGTAAGTATAATCCAGTAACAGAGGGCTTGCCTAGCACACAGGGCCCTGGTTTGATTCCTGGCACCAAACAAAAAAAAAAAGAAAAAGGAAAGTATGAACTGGGGGTAATGGGAAAACTTAGCCCTACTATCTACTGTTTGAGCTTTAGTACCATAAAAACTAAAAAATAGATGAATACATCAATACTGTTACATGCCCAAGGGAATTGAAAATACAAGCTTAAACCAAAACTTGTGCATAAAAGCTTCTATCAGGGGCTGGGAAGGTGGCTCAGTGGTAGAGCGCTTGCCTTGCATGCCTGAGGCTCTGGGTTCGATTCCTCAGCACCACATAAGCAAAAAGAAAAAAGCTAGAAGTGGCGCTGTGGCTCAAGTGGTAGAGCGCTAGCCTTGAGCTGAAGAGCTGAGGGACAGCGCCCAGGACCAGAGTTCAAGCCCCACGACCGGCCCCAAAAAAAAAAAAAAAAAAAAGCTCAGAAACTGGAATATTATCTGACCATAAACAGAAGCAGAGCACTGACACACGCCACGTGGTGGGTCAACACTAAGACCACTACGCTCAGTCTCAAAAGCCAGATAGCAGAGGCCACACCCTGGAGTCTCCAGGCATGAAATGTCTAGAACAGACAACTCCAAGGCCCGGCACCGGTAGTAGCCTCGGGGGCTGTGGAGAGCTTCGTGTTGCAAAGCCTTGTAAACATGTAAAATGACTAAACTTTTCACATGAAGAGGCAAAATGTTCCTGGCATATAAATAAACATCTTCATGTGAATCACATCTTAATTTGTTTATTTCCTTACTTTTTATGAAGCTGGGGATGGAGCCCAGCAACTCCCTAACTCATGGTTTCCTCTTGTTTTTTGTTTGGTGCTAGGGATCAAACTCAAGGCCTTGCTGTGTTAAAAGGGACACAGAAAAAAGGAGGCATTTCCCACGTTTCTTTCTGACATGTTTTGAATGACAGTTCCCTGAGGACAAGAGTGATATGGATTAAGAAGAAACTGCACTCGAACATTCCTCTCTCCGTGGCCCTGACACTCAAGGGCCTGACGGTGCTACCGGGATCCAGCAAGCCACGCTGCCCAGAAGCCTGTCCGCCCCGGGTGACCAGCCCAGCACTGGCCTGCTCCCCCCACCCAGCCCTCATGTGCCCTCCACCCCGCATCAGCCCAACATCACCATCTGCATGGTGAGGCAGGTGGGCAGGCACAGACAGACACCTGCATTCACAGATTACCTGCATTCACACAGGCCCCACAAGGCCCTGCTCTCCTAAGTGAGCTGTCGGCATCCTCAGCCTCCGAGACAAGGACAAGAATAAATTTCAACCACTGCGAATAAAAGGAGCAGGACCAGGTGCTAACTCTGGAGCCCACATCCCCAAAGACCCTGTCCACACTTTCCAAAAAGAAGGCTGGTTCCTGAGCTCAGGCCCCAGGAGGTCCTCTCCACTCTCTCAAGGATGCTAACCAGGGAGATTCCTAGCAACAGCTGCCCAGGCTGCACCTCTTCTGTGGAATTCACACTAGATATTTTCTCCTCGTCAGCACTTCAATGCCACACAACAAACAAGCAAAGCAAAAGATCAGCAAGAGGCAGGGCATGAGGCGCCTGGTAGGTGCCAAGACCCATGTTTAAACAATGATGCTAAAAAGACCGAAACCCACTCATCTGGACAAAATCAGAGCTCAAACCCTAACTTCAAAGCCCTCCTTCACTAGGGCTGGCTCTAATCACTGTGTGCTGTAACAAAATTAAGCAGGAAGAAACTGAAGGCCTACACCTCCATGGGCAACACCGCCCTCTGGTGGCAGCCTGAGACTCCACAGCGTTCATTTTTGCAGAAGTCTAGCTCAAGGCACACAGCAGTGGGAAAAACTATACTGCCCCAAGGGGCAGATGACTCCCACCATGCTCCAGTCACTTCAGCAGAGAATTCCAAATCACTACATTCTGGGTCCAGTGCAAGTGCTGACCCTGGCGTCCCCACACCCTGTCCCTCCACGTGGTCCTCACCAGAGCTTGCAGCGTCCCATCGGTGGCAATGATGCCCTCTGCAGTCTGGAAGGAGCGGGCCAAGGTGCACAGGCTCCAATCCAGGAAGCTAGCCATCTTCCTCTCTCTGACATCAGGACGGGTGATAAACCTGCCAAAGCGAACAGAATCACAAGCTCAACAAGCCTCCACCACCAAAAGTGCACCATGTCCAACTGCCCACCCGCCCCGCCTGGGCCCTGGGCAGCCTCTAAGTTGTGCTGTCACACTGTATGCAGGCGGGCAGCCCCTACGCAGGCTCCTTCACAGCTCCTCTTTCTCCAGAAGACCAAATCCTGCCCACGGTCCCAGCAGCTAATTCTCCACCAGGATCTCCCAGACACACACAGGCCTCCCTGCTCTGCCTCCTCCTATCTGGTCCCCAACTCATCTCCCATCCTCCTAGGCCACCACAGCTGAGAAGGGCCTCTAAACTATCCCCTTCCACCTCAGGACACACCCCAGCAACCTGGCCCAGAACCAACCTAGCCCAAAGACCTGTCTCCAGAGCAACCACCACGAGCCCCTTTCCTTTCCCTCTCCCAGCCCTGTATCCTCCCACCCAACACTCACCCTCCAGCCCCTAAACCAGGCCCCGGCACTCCTCACTCTTCCCGCAGCTCCCATGACAGTGCCCCTCTCTGTGGCGCAGTGATTCAGGCCTGACTTTACCACTCAAGAACAAAGCCCCATCTTTCCAAGGCTGATACTGAAACAGCAAGCCACAGAAGGACAGAAGGACACGGCCGGAGAAAGTGCCGTGCCCCCACACCCAGCACAGGCAGTGATAACCCGGAGGGGCCTACAATGGAGAGCTGGGCAAGAAGAGCGATCGCTATCTGCAGTGGGAAACTGCGGTCCCCAGAAGCAAGAAGAGCATGGCCCAGGGCGGGAAGGGGCTAAGCGGGTGCTAAGAACACCGAGGAGCAAGGTCAGTCAGGTAGCACAGGTGGCCAGGGCAGGCAAGCTGAGCCAGGCAGCAGGTCTGACCAGTGTCCTCACTACACTTCCAGGACACTCGACTAGAAGGGAGATGTGGAGGTGCCGACACATGACTGGTGATTCCTCTTCAATGGTGGGGCCATCTCCAGAGAAGCGTTCCATGTGGAGACTCTACATGCAGTACACACTGGAGAGCTCCACGGTGCCCCATGCAGTGTGCGAGGACTGGAGCTACCAGTCCATGACGCTGGCTCTCCTCCAGCTCTGGCCATCTCCACTGGGACCTAAGCGTAAGTCACCCCTCCGCCAGTCCTCCTCCCCATCCTGTGTCTGACCTGATCAGCTGGCCTGCGCAAGAGCTGCCTCCATACTGGCTTGGTGACAAGTCTCCTCACGCATACAACCACATTACTGTGGTCTATTTCTCAGCAGAGCATAGTGAGCAGACATAGACACCTGGCATTCCGCATCCCGTGAACCTGCCTCCATTCACATATGTATATATGCACAGCCAAACATGGTGGCAAGTGCCTAGAATCCTAGAATTTGGAAGACTTAAAACAAGAGGATCAAGGCCGGGCACTGGTGGTTCACGCCTATAATCCTAGCTACTCAGGAGGCTGAGATCTGAGGATCGAGGTTCAAAGCCAGCCCAGGCAGGAGAGACAGTGAGACTCCTATCTCCAATAAACCACTAGAAAACCGGAAGTGGCGCTGTGGTTCAAGCGGTAGAGTGCTCATCTTGAGCTGAAGAGCTGAGGGACAGCGCCCAGGCCCAGAGTTCAAGCCCCACAACCAACAAAAAGAAAAAAAGAAACAAGTGCAGTTCCGAAGCCTCAGGCAGAACATGATATTCAAAGCAGGCGCCAGAGGGGGCAGCAGCATTAGAAGTGACCCCACACGGTAGGTAAACACCCTTCACGTCCCCCAACAAGACAACAAGTGGACACAGGAGACAAGCAGAGACCACACTGGTAACACTCTAAGGCCCAGAAACTCCCACAAACACTCATCTCGGCAGCAGCTGTCTCTTTTAACACTTTCTCATCTCGGCACTAGATGGCGTTGAAGCCTGTCTCAGCAATGACCAGCCCAAGGCTGGAAAAAATATGTTGTAGATTCCTCTCCTTGGAAGAGGCTCATGTGGTAGCATGCGCCTGGCATCCCAGCTATGGTAGGAAGATCAGGCAAAAAGGGAGATCCTACCCCAAAATAACAAGTGCAAATAGGGGCTGGAGTCATGGCTCAGCAGAAGTGCCTGCCAAGCAAGCTCAAGGCCCAGAGTTCAGTATTGTCAAAAAAAAAGAAGAGTAACAATTCACAATGCACACATTATTTTATACAAATGATATGCTAAGAAAAAAAAAAGGAAAGAACTAGGAAAAATAAAAACAAAACAAGCCAGGCACAGGTGTGGCTCACACCTATAATCCTAGCTACTGAAGAGACTGAGATCTGAGGACCACAGTTCAAAGCCAGCCTGGGCAAAAAAGTTCTTGAGACTCTTATTGGTGCTATGGCACCAATAAGGCTAGCCTTGGGCACAAAGACGCTCAGGGATAGCACCGGGCCCTGAGTTCAAGCCCCAGGACAGGCAAAAAAGATAAGATACATACCACCTTTTACTTGACAAAGTTGGTAAACATTTATGAGGTCCCACTCTAGTAAATAAAGGAAACAGGGCCCTTCAGTTTATTCAATCTTTGTAATAATTGAATCTCAAACCCATATAATTCTTCACTCCACAAGTAGGAATTCATCCCAAGGAGCTTTATGTGGAATATTCAAGACAGTAGTGTTTATTCTTAATAGCCACACTATGGAAAGTGTAATCCTAGCTACTCAGGAGATCTGAGGACTGAGGTTCTAAACTAGCACCAGCAGTAAAGTCCAAGAGAATCTTATCTCCAATTAACCACCAGAAAACAGGAAGTGGTCGGGTGCAGGTGGCTCACACCTATAATCCTAGCTACCCAGGAGGCTGAGATCTGAGGATCTCGGTTCAAAGCCAGCCCGGGCAGGAAAGTCCGTGAGACTGTGATCTCCAATAAACCACTAGAAAACCGGAAGTGGTGCTGTGGCTCAAGCCCCATGACTGACAAAAAATAAATAAGTAAATAAATGGACTTGTTTAAAAAAATATTTTACAAATAATTGATACCAATTTAAAAAATAATTTTAGCCAGGCACTGAAGAGCTGAGGCACAGCGCCCAGACCCAGAGTTCAAGGTATACAACTGGAAAAATATAATAATAATAAAAGTTTTTTTTAAAGAAGAATGCTAATCTTACTAACAAATTGAGAAAGGTAGCCATCTTTGTATGCTACCCACAGAGCACTGATATCCGATGCCACAGCAGAAGATGGAGTGCAGCAACCTGACACGCAGGCAGGGGACCGATGCAGGCAGCTGTGCGCAGGGTATGGGAGCACATGTGGGTTTCATGCTCCAAACACAGGCTTCCTGTTACGTTTGAATCTGAAGAGTTCCCAAACTCCTGCGTTCATCTGTGTGCGTGCAGGCGCACTCAGGCTAGACCTGAGGGGGACTCACGTGCTCACTTGGTTTTTCACCCTGGACTGTCACTGTACCACTACAGCCATAGCTCCACTTCCAGCTTTTCTTTTTTGGCTAGATCATAGGCCTGGGTGCTGTTCCTGAGCTTCTTTTGGCTCAAGACTAGTGCTCTACCACTTGAGCCACAGCACCACTTCCAGCTTTTTATGTGTTACTGAGGAATCAAACCCAGGGCCTCAAGCATGCGAGGCAAGCACTATACCACTGAGCCACCTTCCCAGCCCCACTTCTAGCCTTCTTTTTAGTCAGTCATAGGGCTTGAACTCTGGGCTTGGGCGCTGTCCCTGCGCTCTTCAGCTCAAGGCCAGTGCTCTACTGCTTGGGCCACAGCAGCACTTCCGGTTTTCTAGTGGTTTATTGGGTAAGAGTCTCACAGACTTTCCTGCCCAGGCTGGCTTTGAACCGTGATCCTCAGATCTCAGCCTCCTGAGAATAACTAGAATTACAGGCGTGAGCCACCAGGGCCCAGCTCATGTCCAGCTTTTTGATGGTTAGTTGCAAGTAAGAGTTTCCCAGAGTTTTCTGCCCTGACTGGCTTCAAACTATAATCTTCAGATCTCAGACGTCTGAGTAGCTAGGATTATAGTTGTAAGCCAAAAGTGACCAGCTTACATGCTAAATTAAGGCTGAGTTGTCAGCTGACAGGCCTGTGGAAGTGACTGGTTCTGGTTTTACCATGGATCAGATGGCATTGTTGGCGGCAGGGCGGGGCCTTGTGGAGGCAGGTCACTCATTGGGTGTCCCCTGGAAAAGCTATGTCTTGTTCTTGGCCCCTTCCTGTTCCCATTTCCTGGCCACCATGAGGTAAGCTGCTCGGCTCAAGCTTTCCCGTCCACCCTGTGGTTCTGCCTCATCACTGGTCCCAAAACAATGGAACCAACCAAGTGAAGCCTCTGAAACAGCAAACCAAAATAAACTTCTCCTCTTCTAAGCCGATTTTATCTTCAAGTGCTTTGTCACAATGACAAGAAGTGACTACCACACCCTTATAATGACAGCAAACCTGTAATTTTTTGGTTCATAATAAAGCAGAGAGCAGCCTCTACTGGTAGGTTTCTTCTTTTTCTCTGTGGTGGGGGGGAGGGGCTTAAACTCAAAGCCTGGGTGACCCTGAGCCTCTCTGGGGGGGGGGGGGCCTTAAACTCAGAGCCTGGGTGACCCTGAGCCTCTCTGTGCTCAAGGCAGTTTTCTACCACAACACCACTTCCAGTTTTTGAGTGAGTGGCTAATTGGAGATGAGTCTCAGGGGAACTTTTCTGCCCAGGCTGGCTTCGAATCCCAATCCTCAGATCTCAGCCTCCTAAGTAGACAGGATTACAGGCCTGAGCCACCGGTGCCCATCAGCCAGTGAGTTTCTACCTCCCAGGTGAGGGGTCCAGAAGAAGCAGCCTCATCTGTTCCAGGCATCAAAGTGCACCTGGCTCTCACATCTCAGGCCCATCCTCACGGCTGGACCATGCATTCCCGAGCACAGGACTTCCGACTGCTCTAAAAAAGCAAGCATCTCTTACCATTGCAGAGGTGGCCACAGAAAGACACAGCTGTACCCAAGCTGTTCTCCCCTCAGGCAAGGTGCCAACTATTTTCCCAGTCAGAACAACCACAAGCCATTATGGCTTTCACCAACACAGCAGCAGAAAAAACTGCCAAAGCTTCTAACTCATTTCATCATGCAAGTATTTAAAACAATAGCATTGTTGTGACTGGGAAGGTGGCTCAGTGGTAGAGCGCTTGCCTTGTATGCATGAGGTCCTGGGTTCAATTCCTCAGCACCATGTAAGCAGAAAAAGCTGGAAGTGGTGCTGTGACTCAAGTGGTAGAATGCTAGCCTTGAACTGAAGAGTTGAAGGACAGTGCCCAGGCCCAGAGTTCATGCCCCATGACCGACAAAAAAAAAAAAAGCATTCCCAATTTAACAAAACGGGTGTTTCACAAAACACGCATCTTTGTCACCTTTTAGAATCTCCCAGGCAGGCTGTGTTGACCATCTCACCCTGACCCAGCAGAGAAGCCATCTTCCCCTCTCCATGTTTATTTTCCCCTATACGGGAAGGCCTGGTTTCCCTTTTTTTCCCCTTATTTTTCAATGCTGCAATAAGACTGAGGGCCTTGTACATATTAGGTGACTGTGCCACTGCCAAGCTACATCTCATTGTTGTGTGTGTGAGACAGACTAAGACTGAGAGACAGACAGACAGACACTGGGCCTCAAACTCAGCATCGACACTTTATGTTCAGCGGCAGGCACCAGACCATCTGAGTCATACCTGTAACCCCTACACCCCTTTCCTGGGGCTTGAACTAAGGGCCTGAGTGTTGTACCACAGTCTGTTTTTTTCCTTAACACTAGTGGTCTACCACCTCGGCCACAACTTGACTTCAGGCTTTTGGAGGTGAGACAGAAGTCTCACAGACTTTCCTGACCAGGGTTACTTCAAACTATAATCCTTAGGAAGTGGCGCTGTAGCTCAAGTGGTAGAGCGCTCGCCTTGAGCTGAAGAGCTGAGGGACAGCGCCCAGGCCCAGAGTTCAAGCCCCACGACCGACAAAA